GGCGGCAGCCCTCGGCGCCCGGGGCGCCTTCCTCGGGACCTGGGGGCTGGCTGCCCCGCCCTCTGCGCCCCACTTTTCCACCCTTCTTCCCAATCCTGCCTGCCTCTGCCCTGGCCCCCAAGAACTGGGTTGAGCCCAGCCCCGTGCAGCAGCTGTTGCTCGTGTCTCTGTCTCGGTGCTCTGCTGGGGGTCCCCCAAGGAGCCAGTGCGCGCTGCGGGCTGGGAAGAAGGCGCCGCTCCGCCGGTCGTCCTCCTCCTCCTCGTCCTCGTCCTCCTGCTTCTCCTCCTCCTCCTGCTGCCGCCGCCGCCGCCGCCGCCGCCGGTGCCCGGTCCGTGCGTATCCCGACACCCCCGCCAGCTGGGCCTCGGTAAGTGCCCTGGCCACCCGGGCCGCGGCGGGAAGTGTGGGAGGCGGCAAGGGAAGTCGAGGCAAACTTGGTGGTGTGGCAGACCCTAGAGGGTCTGGGAACCGCACGACAAGATCGCGGGCCCAAGGGGGGCAAGGGGGCGCGGCTCTTGCAGCTGGGGAAAATGACGAAGTCGGGAAACAGGAATCTAGCCCCCCCCCCAAAAAAACACCAGGGTTGGGGAGAGCGATAGTTCGAAAGGAAGAAGAGACAGAAATGGGAAAAGACTGTGACTGGAGCCAAGCCCGCTGGATTTCTGGAACGACTTGTGGGTGGGGGTGGGGATGGGGGTGGTGCCCGGGACGGGGGAAGAAGGAGGGTTGTTGGGATGGAGACTGGAGCAGCCAGCCGGGGCGGAGAAGAGCGCGCAAAGGGGGCCCAGGGAGTTGGAAAGAGTCAAGGGCAGGGAAAGAGGGTGCAGGTTGTGGGACGGAAGGAAGGGAGGGTGTCTCGGCGGCGGCCTTGGTAAGAGAAAGGATCAGAGGGCGTGATTGACAAAGCATGAGTGCACTGAAGTCTGGGCACCAGGAAGAATCCGCTCTGCTGTCGGACGGTCTAAACTGGGGGAAAGCCCTCACCCTCCGCGTTCTGAGCCCGGAAGAGGTGGCCGACCCCCTCAGGAGGCTTGCCAGGGAAGTAGAAATGTTAGGCAAGCCTCGGTCTCCCCCTGGAACGGAGCCAGCGCCGAGTTCCCTGCTCGGCCGGGGTCAGAAGCGAGGAAAGTTTGCCAGCGCGTGTCCTTTGTGCTGCACGGTGAGGGGTGTGGGCGGTCGCCGACTTCGCGCTTCGCGGGTCCCCGCAGCGACTGTCTCCCTTCGAGGGAGTCTCTGACCGGCAGACTGCGGTGGGGTGGGAAAGTCTAGCCGCGAGAGAACCGCTGCCTACCGGGACGGGTGGGAAAGCCGGTCCTGGGACCGTCGCGAGGGAGCCCGCGTGGGTGCACGGACTGGGAGACGCAGCTGTGACACCTGCTCCAGGAGAGGGGACCTTGCCTGCCGGGCGCCCCGCCGCAGCCCCAGCGCTGAGAACAGTGCCTGGCCTTGGATGCATGGATGGCCGGGGTGTCGATGGTTTTCGGGGACCTTGAACCTCAGCAGGCAAGGGCTGAGAATCTCAATTCTACCCTGCCAAACGTATTTTCGTTCCCAAACCCAGATTATACGCATAAAGGCAAAATGGAATTCTAATTCGGTGAAGGAACAGGTACTGCGAAAGGCATGTTTTGTTTTGCAATTTGCGTGGCCACGGCAATCTAAATAATTACTATTACTGGAATAGGCTCATTACTTCATTTTAAAAAGCTAGAACTAGAATAGTGGAAAGTTCAGTAAGGTACTTTGATCAGTATAAATCTAGAGTAAAAGTGTTACTGGCTCCAGGGCCATATGTGTCCAGAAGTCTCTGATTTGCATGCAAATGTGAGCGGATCCTGGCAGATGTCTGGCCTCATCCATTCACATGAAGGAATTTGAAAAGACAAGGAGTCTTCAGCTAACAATAGACCTTAAGAAAATAGAATAAAGACGCAGTGTGAGTTTTTCTGTTTGGGAATTCCATGGCTTGCTGACACCTTTATTCAAGAGCCAAATTCTTTGAGTGCTATTGTAGTGAAAGCTCAAAAGTACTGCTTGCTCTTTACCTGACTGTATGCATTTGTACAACATTTAAGCTAGATATTCTGAGCGAGTTAGGAAAATGTTCATATGAAGCAGACAGTAACTCGAATCGACTTCTGGTGGCTTGATGTGATCTCTGAAGTGACCCCTCAACTTGTAGACTTTCTTTTCTTTTCATTTCTTTTCTTTTTTTTTTTTTTTTTTTTTTGAGTTGGAGTCTCACTCCGTCACCCAGACTGGAGTGCAGTGGCCGCTCCCGGCCACCGCAGCCTCGACCTGCTGGGCTCCGGCAATCCTTCTGCCTCAGCCTTCCAAGTAGCTGGAACTACAGGAGCGCGCTACCTTTTGCTCACATTTGCTTCCCATCCTCAGACATTCAATATAGTAGAAGATCGTTGTCACGGACCCACATGAAGATCTCACTAGAATGTTTACTGTCTAGTCGAAGTCGTTTTGGTTCTAAAAGGCACCAAGCTTGTAGAAGTGCCGGTGATGAAACTGTCCTGTCCCTAAATCATCAGAGTGGGTTTCATGTCACAGTACAGAGCAGTGAGTGGGGAGCCAGTCATACCGTGAACTCCAAAGCAAAGGCCTTTCTGCCTTGCCTCACATTAGCTGATTGACCACACTGCACTGTTCACTTCCTGGCGTTGTGCTATTGCTGAACAAAAGGCAGGCGGTGTGGGCCGCACGTGAGCCGGCGATTATACCTACCGACAAGCCAGCCCCAGTGGCCTCTTCTTTTGTCAGTCTCAAACACTGTTGAAAGGAAAAAGAACCTATTCACTGAACAGCGTTTGCCCCTGTATTCTATCTCTTCACTGAAAGGGATAACCAAAAAAAAAAGACAACATTGTTTTGGAGAATTCAGTGTTGGGGGCAGGGGCAGGCAACAGATGTTAGCCTGCTATTTTACATGTTCCCTTAAGTTATTTTTGCTGCTTCAGTGCCTTTTATACGTAAAGCAGTATTTTCCCAGAAGGGGAAAAATGAATTGAATCAAATTTAAGTAATATTAAATTTGAAAATCTCATAACCAAGTTTGCATTTTCTGTCTTAGAGCTATAGAGAAGTCAGAAAGTAACACATCATCATAATAAACTCTTACGTGACTCATGACTAGGACCCTGTCTTCCTCTGGAGTTGAGGGATAACTATAAAATAAGCATGACTATACTAAATTATAAACCATTTTCTTGTAAAGTTATCTAAGTATCTTTAAAACAAACCTGGTGACTTTAAAATGACCATAGCATCACATTTGTGAAAGCTTAACTTTGGCTATTATCTTCCCTGTGTGAAATCTTTATTCTGCAATTCTGATGAAAGGAAAGAGTAGAACTCATTCCTTGGTAAATAAAAACAACAAAGTACCTAATTATTAGATAAGGATCATTCTTCTAAATAAAAGATCTGAGAACAGATCCAACTGCGTACTGTGGTTCTGAAAAATAAACACAGATAGCTCTGGTTAGTGTTTGAAATTCTGAAACAGCAAGGAAAAACTCAGCCATTGGTCTCTTTCTGGTTAGACTCTGCCAAGACTACTACCTTCTTGACCTGAACTGCTAGACCCATTACCACATATTCTAAAGCAGTGACTCTCACGGGAACATTCCAGGTATTAAAGAAAATATGCTTCTGCTGAGTTATATGGCTATTCCCCAAGCCAGTTGACTATAAATAATTATTATAAGTAATCAGAACGGTGGACTTTATATGCCACCATAAATATGCCATAAATAAAATATGGTAAATTATAGGATACAGATGTCACTTCTACTAGACTTTCACAATGCTTTCTTAAAATTCATTTTTAAGCTACCAAATAATAGTTCTCTGGGTGATTCATCTGAGTACTAATATAAGGTTGCTCAAATGTTGTATTTCATTTTTAAAAATTATTATGCTGAACATCTATTTTGGGTTAAGTCAATCTGGAGATAAAGCAAATTCCATTTTAGAATCATATGATAATTTAGAATAATATGTTCCTGGGAACAATGGAAGTATCTTTAACTCATGAATAAAGCTTTGATTAATATTTTATTCAGAATGAAATTGTAACTATATTGTTGAAGTCAGAAAAGTATGTATTTTCTCTTGTTTGGACTCACAAGTACAAAATAAAGACAAAAGTTAAACCCTATCTGTAAAATCCAGGCTCGGTGGCTCAGCCTGTAATCCCGCACCTTTGGGAGGCTGAGGTGAGTGGATTACCTGAGCCCACGGGCTCGAGACCCGCCTGGGCAACTTGACGAGACCTCATCTCTACAATAAATCAAAAATCAGCCAGGCGTGGTAGCACGTGCCTGTAATTCCGACTACTCGGAAGGCTGAGGCGGAAGGATCGCTGGATCCCAGTGGGTCAAGGCTACGGTGGCCGGGAGTGGCCACTGCACTACAGTCTGGGCGACGGAGTGAAACTCCAACTCAAAAAAAAAAAAAAAAAAAATTCAATACTTTAGCGACCAAGGGATCAATTCTTTCTTAAAGTCTTCTTCAGTGAAGTTACCTTTTTAAATTTTCTTGTTTTAAAATATTACCATTCACCTACTTTATGGATCTATTACAGAGTGTAGCTTCCAAGTCCTGAAACATAGACGAATGCATAATAAATGGTTTGTTGAAATTGCATTACAATTCATGATAAAATGATATACATTTCCAGACTTTATGGGCACCTTGTAGAACTGTTAAGCACATTATTCAGTAATTAAAGTATGTACCATTATAAATTATAGTTTTTTTTAAAAAAAGCAATATGCAGGCTTACATGTCATTAAATTTTTTACTTTTTGAATGTTTTCAAAAGCTCTAGCAAAGATAGGACATTGTTAGCAATTTTGTAACTGATTTGGTTAGTAAGCAAAGCAGTTATCCAGTCATAGCTAGAGAATCTAGGATCAGTTTCTTAACCCCACCAACCCTCAGTTTCCACGTTTGTAACATAAGTTGGATGAATAAGACTGCCATAATCAGCAAAATTGCTAAAGGTTTAGGGAAGCTGTGCCTCCAATACAACAACTAACATGAACATTTAACTTGCATGGAACCACTGAACTGATAATCATCCCTGAGTTGCAAAGCAGCTAGGCTTAAACTTCAGTGGTATACACCAAAGATCCTGTCCACTCTGACTTCAGGGTACCCTCTAAAGAGACGACTGCATCAGCTTAAGACAATTAATTTTGAAATCTGTGAAGTGAAAACTGCTTTTCTAGTAGCTTATTGCCTCTCATTTATACTCTTTATAGCTCAGAGGTTGGAGTGTTATTTGAAAGCTCTGATTAATACAGCAAGTTATAACTTTCTGACCCAGGCCGTCCTAGCTTACATCTATTA